ACCACAGTAAACAATATATATGGCAGTACATTCAGTATATAATAAATATAAAGAAGGAATTTAATATAAATTTATGTTTATTATAGCCTTTAATACAATTTTAATCAGCAAATATTTAAAATAACATGATTTAATAAAATTTATTATATAATATTAATATCGTATTTAATACAATGATTTGTGCAAAATTTATAATAATATATTATAAACATGCCAGAAAATTACATTATTATTAAACATGCCCAAAAATTCTATTTATTATTTTACTTAATACAAAGTAATTAATACTGAAAAATTAATTTTTTACATACTCTTTTGGGTAGCCGCAGTTTAGCAATTGTTGCAAATAATGCTTTGAAAATCAACCGTAGCTTTTTTTTTTCACTGATGGAAGAATGGAAATAATAAGCAGGTTTTACAATGAAAAACTGCTATGTTGACATTGCACAGTTATTAAAAAAAAAAAGTTTCAGCAACTCTTTGTTTCTCACACACATGCAGATCAGTAACTGTTTCTTATCAGTGCAGAAAGGCTCCAAATTCATTTTCTCGCCAAAGCTGCTACAGAAGATAAGTACCTTAATTTTCTGTAAACATGTCCAAGCGATTATAAAGGCTTTCACTAAAGAAACTTTTACAGTCTAAACTTTGAGCATCTATAATAATGAATCACTTATTATAGGGATGCACCACCTGTGGCCTGCTGAGACCTCTTCAAAATTTTGTTGAGATTTGACATATCAGTTTTCTCTAGAAGGGGTTGCAAGCAGGAAAATTTTCACGGTTTTCCCCTTCATCACTCGTTCTACTCTCTCCTCTGAAAAGTGAGATTTGGCACTGAACCAAGTTCCTGGTATCAACCAAAGCAAATTTCACCACCTGAGTGTGAAAACTGCTTCTAGCCTGTACAACGCACCAATTGAATAAGGGTCTGTGGTATGACATAGTATGAGTGTGTTTGCATGCATGCGCTAGTAAAAAGGGAGAGAAAAATATTTGCTCGAATCAGAAGCACTGCACTAATTTGCTTTGCATTGTTGCACTTTTGACTTCGCGATTCTACATTGTTTTATCACTTGTGTGTTTATTTTTCTTTCTGAGACCATTAAGAACTTTACTGTTTTGAATATTTCACTTTTTTTTAATATTATTTAGAAAGAGAGGAACCAATGTGGAACAAGGTAATATAATTTCATGCTTGATATATAATTTTAAAATTAGTGTTTGCAAGGCATGTAATATTAAGCGACATTATGACACATAACACTCGACATTTTCAAAGCTTGAGATAAAAGATCGAAATTGTAAAATCGAATCTCTTCCCCATTTTCTCATTGCACAAAGGAATGAATTTACAAAGGCATATTCACAATCAGATGACTATGTTGTAGTTAGTTTGGGAATTGCAGTTTTAATTGCTAAAAAGGGCAACCAATTTACTGATGGCAATTTTGCAAAGAAGTGTATATTATTGGCGTCCATGAAAGTATGCCCTGAAGAAATTTAAAAATGTGAGTCTCAGCAGAATGACAATTCAAAAAAGAATTGAAAATTTATCTAATGATGTTGCTGAGCAATTACAGAATGCTGCCGCCAAATTTAAAGTACTTTCCTCTAGCAGCTGATGAATCAACAGATATTACTTCAACAGCTCAGCTTCTTTTGTTTGTCAAAGGAATTTCTGAAAATTTTGAAGTAGCTGTAAAATGTAACTTGTCGGGAATGAGTTCAATGAAGGGGCGAACAACTGATATTTTATCCTCAGTTTTAAACTTGTGTTCTGCACATAATTTTGATATTAACAAACTTGTTAGTAACACTATTGATGGAGCTCCAGCCATGAACGGAATTCAGAATGGCGTGGCAAGTCTACTGAGAAACCCATTTGGATGATAGAGGAAAAGATTTGCTTGGGTATCATCGTGTCATACACCAAGAACATCTATGTGCGAAAGAACTCGGATTTGGCCACCTAATGAAAATAGTGAGTAATACAATCAATTTTATTTGCTCTCATGGTTTAAATCACAGGCAATTTAAGGAAATCCTAGAACACACAGATGCACCACATAGTGATCTCGTATATTACTCTAAAGTACAATGGTTGAGCCGTGGAAAGGCTTTGAAAAGGTTTGCTGATTTAATTGATGAAATAATAGCATTCCTTGAAGAAAATGGCAAGCAAACTAGGATGTTAAAGGAACCATCTTTCAAGTGTGACTTAGCATTATTAGTTGATGTGACACTGAATGAACTAAATAAAAATAGATGAGAAAAAACAAATTCATCAATCACCTGGCCAATGCAGTATCTGCTTTCAAACTAAAACTTCAGCTGTTCTCAAAGCAGCTTGGCTGTCAAAATTTTGTCAGTTTTCCTTACCTGAACAAACTCAAAGAAAATTTTCCTGATAAAGAACTGGATTATTCAGATCAAATAAAGAGGTTGCTTATTTCTTTTGAAAAGCAATTTGGGGACTTTGAGTTGCATAAGGTTAAATTGAAACTGTTCGAGGATCCATTTTCTGTTGTAGTCGAAGAAGCTCCAGAAGATGTTCAAACAGAACTTATCAATTTACAAACTCCTGACTTATGCAAATCCAGATTCCGTGATTTAGATATTCTGGACTTTTATAGAACTTTACCTGCCGAATTTTTGCAATTAAAGAGTAATGCAAGCAGATGTGCTACCATGTTTGGTAGTACTTATATATGTGAATAAACATTTTCTCTTATGAATCTAGTCAAAATTAAGAAACAAACTAACAGATCAACACTTGCAATCTGTCTTAAGAATATCAATAACTTTCAACCAAATATATCAAAAAGTGTTGATAAAATTCAGTCTCAACCATCACACTAATGTATTTAACTATGGATAACTTGTACACATTTTTATTAAAATATTTGTATACAAGTATTAAATTATCATGAATAAACATAAACTGTATTCCCCCCCCCACGCTGAAATGGTGTTTTGGCCCCAATAGCACATGCAAGGGAAAAGGGAAACCCCATCCCTCTTTGCTTACACACATACATAATGGTCTTCAAATCAATTTAAATTTGGTATGGTACATGTGTGAATTGCAAATTAAGCGACTTATTGCATTGAATCCCCCCCCCCATTCTACGAAAATGTTTTTCATACTCGGCTCTCGGCAACCAAGTCGTTTCTGTTAGTGGCCCCATCTGCTAGGTTGTGCATCCCCACTCTATATCAACAGTTCTGATCCTTCCATTAGTTTATTATATACTGTCTCTCAATACAAGCAAACAAAGCAATTAACACAGTTGTAATACAGTCACCAAATGAAACTAGCTATAACGTCAAGTTACATTTAGCTCATTAGAGAAGAATTTTCAGGCATTCTTTGCTTATAGATTTAAAATGCATGAAACACTATAAGAAAGAAACCTTTTATGTCTGTTATTAAATTTCACAAGTAAAACTAGCCTGCATTCCTGCTAAAAGCATAAAGTCATGAATGAAGACTGTCTGTTCCACAGGTAATCAAAACCAATACAAAAGATGTTGGATCATTCTTGGTTCTAAACAATCAATCAATGACATTTAATTGTAATTTACAAAATTTGCTTAATTATTCACAAAGTAACACAGCATTTTCTCAATGCAATGCCTCATGCATTTCAATTTGAGTAAAACTTGGTATAAAATTTCAATCAAGGATCACATGACAACACTTAGATACAAATACCAGTCTTTCTTCTCAATATGAATGCTGTTTCACATGCTCAAAAAGTGGTGTACAAAGTTCTATGCTATCCCAAAAGAATGTCCTATGTAATTTAAACAAAAGAGCCTGTTTAAAAAGAGTTTTCAAAATTTCATTCATTTCTTCTCAGTAGACCTTTTTTTTTTTTACAAATTTCCTAATCATGATCATGAAAAGACTAGACTACTGTGATTGTATTGAATAGTCAAGTTCAGAACTGCATTCAAGTTAATAAATCAATAAATATAATTAATGCCACTATACAGTACACTCATAATAGCTCAAGAGTAAATTAAATCAAGTAAAATTTGTATCTACTTACAAACACCTCAACTACTTCATTGTATAAACAATTAGTATCTATCAATAACTGCATATAATAAAATTATAAGGTTAAATTCAATATTAACTGAACTAAAGAAGAAAAATCTTTTGCAAAAATATCACAGTGTTCCTTCTCCTTGCTAAAAAGTAATTTTATAAAATCTACAGAATGGTAATTTGTACAAAAATAACATTTTCTCATAAAGACTTGGATATAGGCTAAAATAGCTAATGAAAAGCATTATGAAACTTACTTTAATAAAGCGGCAATATTTGTAATTTTATTGAGATTTTATTACAGATCAATTTCACACTAGGAGAAGTGGGTTAACAGACTTCTGTACAAACACTGAACCAATCTAAGAAGAAAAAAAAAAAAGAAAAAAAAAAAAAAAAAAAAAAAAAAAAAAAAAAAAAAAAAAAAAAAAAAAAAAAAAAAAAAAAACCCATAAAAAAAAAAACTTTAAGATTTATGTCCAATAATCGTAATAGATAATTCTGGCCATAATAACAGTCATTATTGTCATAACAAAAGATTTTTCATATAAACATTTTATTAATAAATTTTAACATTGAAATTGTTGTTTTATGATACAAAATTTAATATTTTTTATTTTTATATCATAAAATCAAGTGCATGTCTTATTCATACAAATTACACTCCAAGAATATTTGGTTGATATATTTGTTGTTAGTCATGTTGATTTTTGAAAGCTGACATATATGTGTATAGATGGAACAGGAAGGAAGTTTGTTCAAAAACTAAATGCTCTTCAACTTGGAGAAGAGATTCTATTTTTCCATCTTCAGGATTAAAAAAAAAAGACTCAAGATTATTTTGAACTATAAAAATAAATTTACATTTCAAAACATTATTGTTATTCCCATATAATTCAACATTCTTCACATTCTCTCCATTTATAAAATAAGAACAACTTACTTTGAGATTTCACTCTGAGTATTTTTTTCACCTTCAACAGTAAATGGAGAAGCACCAGTAAGAAGTTCATACGTTAACACACCGACACTCCACCAGTCAACGCACTGTAAAATGAAAAAGAAATCAATACAAATTCAAAGTTTTGAGATTCAATAATATGTATAATATTACCGATATTTCTTGCATGCAAATATAAAGGAAAATGGCACGCTTCAGCATGCTATCGCAGAACAATTAGAAACACACACACAAACAACTATTACTGCACAAATGTAGAATACTTGAAATGTCAACACACCGCTAAAATCCAACATGACTTCCCTTATATCAGACATTCCATGCAAAATAATTTGCTACATGTGATAAAGCTCCTTTCATATATTTTGGAAATGACAGGATGAATTCTGGAACATAGCACAGGAGCAGAAAAAGATGTATATTTGATGTTCGGTAAAACCACATATGTAAAGAATATATAAACTGACAGAAGTATATCCTCCAATCAATTCATCTGCTTGAAAAATGGAAAGCACCAATAAAAATAAAAGCACATTTTTTCAGAAGAAGGATACATGCAGTGAGAAACAGCACAATCTGCTCAATCACCCTGGCAGAAATAAGGGACGGCAAAATTATTAAAATTTAGGAGGTTATTGGGTGGCAGAATTTAGAAACCACAGAGACTGCAGTGGTGCCAGCCTTGATCCATACATTATATTCTCACTTGCTATACAAAACATAGCTTGTGAGCTGCTGCAAACACTTCTGAGGTAATGTGCAGACTTTTACCTTTTCAAATTCTGTAGGTATGAGTGTTAATTTATCAATTTACAAGAAAGATGAATTAACCAATGAAAATGATGTTAATGTCTAAAATAGCTTCAGTTTGTTGCATCTCACAGATAATACCTACAGTGAAATCCTGATATATTTTAACATGGGGAAAACTTTCATCACAAAAATGAGAAGTGTGACGGCAAAAATAAGAATAAAAAAGGTTGATTAATGAAGAATATGGATCAACATGGATCACTTTGAGAAACTTACTAGAAATGTACTAGTGATAAAAAAATTAAGGAAAAACAGGAATTAACATTTAAGAATGCCAAACCAGTGCTTATCTAATATGCTAACCCAAGAAACTTAAACACGGTGAAATTCTGGGAAAGAAAAATGAAGTATTTTCTAATACACTTTCAAGCTTAATAGAAGAGTGCTCTATCTTAAATTTGCATTTATTATTGACTCATCATAGCATATCAAATTTTAAATAATCTTGCTAAATATCACAAAGTATATAGGATATACAGGATGATGGAACCTCAGATCACGAACGTCTCCCTTAATGAACTATTTGATTCATAAATAATTTATCTGAACAAAAAATACTATAAAAGATATTTTGCAAAGGAACAAACAAAAATTCTACCAATTACACGTAAAAATATTAAATAATAAAATTTTATTTGCTTACAAAGTCATGCCCTGTACTTCCTCCTTTTATCACCTCAGGAGCCATATACTCAATAGTTCCACAAAAAGAATATGTTCTTTGGTCCTATTAACAGATAATTCATACTTAAAAAACAACAATTACATGTTAAGTTAAAGTGCATAAAATATAAATACCACAAAACGGAAAGTAATCAACTACAAAAGAACCATCATACATAACTAGATTATCTATTATTTTACCTAAGCTAGATTATGCATTATTTATAATAAATGAATTATACTTCAAATGAAAATAACTTACCGTTTCATGAGGAAGGAATTCTTTGCTTAAACCAAAATCCGTAAGCACTATGTGACCCTCGGAATCCAATAAAATATTTTCTAATTTGATATCACGATATATAATTCCAAGCTAGAATTTAAAACATGAAGTTTAAAAATTCATCTAAATAATAAAAAAGCAACTATAGTTCAGAATAAATATCACAATACAGAGGTTTAATGGCAACTGTAATAAAAATTATGAACATTTCAAAAACAATTTGAAGAAATATTAAAATTTTTAATGCTTTTTAATACTTTAAAAGCATTAAAATTACTTAAATGCTTTTTAATACTTTAAGTACTTTAATGCTTTATAATACTGATACTAACATACTAAAGCAGAGAAATCTATTTTATCACCAAGTGTGTGGGTAATTTTTCAGATATGTTTCTGGATTTTGACTTCTACAAGGATACAGAATTTGCCGCTTTTCTCATTGTTAGTTCATAATTAGTGAGTGATGGTCAAAGTATGATTTTTTTGACATAATTTTAACTTATTAACTATGCACTATTCTTCATCACACTAAAATTCGAATTTCAGATTTCCAATTTAAAGAAGTTGCAACTTTTTTCTCATTGAAAGAGATTCTTCCACAATACAGTCATAACAAAAAATATAGAATACATATATCATTCCAAACCATTTCTGAAAGGCAATGTCCAACTTTAAAAAGTTAGATAAGGTTAAAAGATTCTAATATTCCCTTTCATACATCATACAGATTTATTTACTGTTAAATAAAAAAGTCATATCTCCTACACTGGATAAAGTGATGAGGTATAATACGGCATAGCTGACATTGCAATCGACTGAAATAATGTGTTGTAGAGTCTTCTTGTGTGTTTTGGGATCATCAACTGGCAAGATCCTAACTGAAAGACTAGGTAGCGAATTCTCACTAGGTCTTGAAAGAACAGATACTTGCAGAAAACGGTTATAATAACTTCTTAATTTTAACTAAACTGAATAAACGCACTCACTCGGTGCTTGCAATTTAATCACTACTTGTGGCTAAGTAACTTAAACAGAAAAATAAGATGTACAATCACAACAAAGTAGATTGACTGACTATATGACTGGTTTTATCTAAACTGCTAAATCGGCTGCACACAGCAAAGCCGAACCTAGAATATCAATATAATCTAAAGAAAGTGGAAGACGCCAACTATGCAACTATGAGGTTGCTAAATCAACCACACGGCATAAACTCGAATTAACTCTCCTACAGTGAACTCTTAAAACTGCTGCTTTAAGCACTGTTTTCAACTCACTTAGATTTGCATACACGTCATTAAATTTACATTCTGGCAAGAACCTGAAATCAGAAGGGAAAGGATAGTAATAAATAATTGGTTACAATAAAATAAGGTCTTTACAGTGCAATATTCAGATGTTCTAAATCCAAAGAAAAAAAATATTTTGAAAAGAAAATAGTGTCAGGCAAATTCTTCCACAGTAAAGGATGTTTTGTGGCATCTGCAGAGAAAAATGGAAACATTTCTTTGCACAGCTGCCAAATAAAAATTCAAAAAAACCCACGAAATCAGTCGGCCTATATGTTATCATGGAAAACATCATATGCAGAAACCTGAAGAATTAGAAGCACATGTTTTCACTGTTTTACAATAAAACACAAATTTCATTTAGAGAAAGAGTATGGAAAAAATGTATTTGTTAGTAGTATTCCTATAATGGCAGATTATTTACCAGCAAAAATGCAGCTTGTAAAAATGAAATTATGTATCAGATTATCCATTAGTCTCAAAGTAACCTGAATTCACCTTGCATTTTTACTCCTAAATCACCAAATATACTGTCAATTTTCAGATAAAACGATCTCAATTTTAAATATATTTTAAAAGCAGCTGCAGAAACAAATCTAACCCCCCTTTCACACATAAGCACCAAAATAATATTTAAAATAGAGTTTATTCAAAGCAATTTTTTATATCATCAGTATAAAGGCAAGATGTTTCAAAACATATAACAAAAACTAAACAAATAGCTCTTAAAAAGTAATTAAAAAATTAAACTGGAAACTAAGGAAAATATGTTACTAGTTCAATATTTTGAAACAGATTCTGCATTCCTTTACTAATGAACTAAACAAGTTTTGCTGAAATACATGTGTTAAAATCTTATATCTGAGGCATTATAAGAAAAACTGATTACACATAATACCTGATGCAAGTGTTCTAAGGCAAGAATAATTTCTCCAACATAAATCCTCACTTCCTCTTCAGTAAAATGATCTCTCTGATATAAGTGAGTGAACAACTCTCCTCCACTAACATAATCTAGAAGCATAAAATCAAAACACTCACACAAAAATGTTCATATTTTAAATAAAATATTGCACAATGTAAAACACATTTACATAAATTATTCACTTTAATACATTATTTCTTATGTTGAAGTTTTTCTGCATTTCTGTTGTTCAATCTGTTCCACCAGAATATGTAAAGGAAGAGGCTTTAAATAATAAGTAATACTATAAACTTAGGACAGAAGGTTAGCAAACTGCCTTTACAGTCAGATTACAAGACAGGAGTTTGTCTTCCAATTGAAATTATGGTACTTTCTGATTATCTGCATACCCCTACAAAAAATTCCAATTTCCTAGCAATTTTATGAACTAGTGAAAAACATTTGTTTGACTATCTTTATGACTCATAGGTGCTGTTCTTTTCATAAATAATAATAAAAAGAAGCATTTTACAAGAAAAGTGAAACTTTCTGAAGGAAAAAAATTCTATATGAATTATATAATTACTAAATGTACAGTACAGCCAGTCAGTACTACTTGGAAATGATGGATAAATATAATACACATACATGATATGTATGCTGTGGGGGGAAAGGGAGGGGGGTGTATTTCTTGTTCTACTGGGCCGATTAACAAAATTTAAATTGTGTTTTTCATATCTAGAAAGTGCGACTTTGGATATATATTAGATTTATATATAGCATTATTCTAACCATTAGTATTTTGGTACAAAATAGGACGTTTTCTGAGATGACATGCCAATTTTTTCCCTATTCCGATTTTATGACTACCTTTTATGCCTAAATATTAAATATTGTAAAATTTGGTACGAAATTTACAGAAAAATTTAAAAATTTATCTTGGCACAATTTTTCAGTTTGTGCCAAGAATAATTTATTTGGAAACTTCTTAATTTATAGCAACCTATTTTACTTTCCCGCCCTTTTTTTTCATTGCACAGGAGGGAGCAAAAAAGGTCATGCTAAAGTAATGACAGGCTAAAATTGAAAACTAAAATATTTCTTTTCACTTTAGCTAAAAATGAAAGTAAAGCAACAGTAATTCAGATCATTTAAAGTCTTAACTGCTTTGCTCTGCTAGAGCGCATCTATATTTTTTATTTTGCGAATTTAGTACTTCCTGATTATCTGTACCCCTAGTCTTAAAATTGAGTAGAATTGCCATGTTTTGGTGCATTTTTTATACATGCAGTAGTAACCAATTCACAGATGTACACTGCAAAAAGAAAAAAAAGGACAGTTCTATATCCCCATTCCGATTGACGAAATTCCACTTGCGTTTTTCATCTCTCAAAAGCAGGATTTAGGATATGTATTAGATTTATATATAGCGGCGCAAAATCGGACTTTTTCTGAAATGATATGCCAATTTTTTCCCATATATTGATTCTACGACTCAAATTATGCCAAGCTGCCAAGTTTTGTAAAAATTGCTCGAGTAGTTTTTAAAAAATTAGCTCTCAAAATTTTAGCTCCTCAGTGTTAATTGAATTTGGTATTTATTTATTAATATATCTTTTTTTTTATTAAACTTGATTCCTTCTTCTAGAATTCGAAATTTAGGCTTAATGTAAATATAATTCGCACATTTTTTATGATTTATTTTTAAATATTTTTATAAATTTTCAAAAACTTTCTTATATTGAACCTATAAAATTTTATCATCGCATTAAAGTGTAAAATATAGGCACACCTGCAAAAAATTAAAGTTTTTTTATTCAAAACTTTCTAAGATATGCTTGAATTTATGTATTGATGCATTTTGAAATTTGGCATAATTTTTTGAGCAATAATAACACCAAATGTGTTTTACGCATTTTTAAAATTATTTGAAAGTATGAACGATGATATTATTGCTCAAAAAATTATGCCAAATTTCAAAATGCATCAATACATAAATTCAAGCATATCTTAGAAAGTTTTGAATAAAAAAACTTTAATTTTTTGCAGGTGTGCCTATATTTTACACTTTAATGCGATGATAAAATTTTATAGGTTCAATATAAAAAAGTTTTTGAAAATTTATAAAAATATTTAAAAATAAATCATAAAAAATGTGCGAATTATATTTACATTAAGCCTAAATTTCGAATTCAAGAAGAAGGAATCAAGTTTAATAAAAAAAAAAAAGATATATTAATAAATAAATACCAAATTCAATTAACACTGAGGAGCTAAAATTTTGAGAGCTAATTTTTTAAAAACTACTCGAGCAATTTTTACAAAACTTGGCAGCTTGGCATAATTTGAGTCGTAGAATCAATATATGGGAAAAAATTGGCATATCATTTCAGAAAAAGTCCGATTTTGCGCCAAAATACCTATATTAGAAGAATGCTATATATAAATCTAATACATATCCTAAATCCTGCTTTTGAGAGATGAAAAACGCAAGTGGAATTTCGTCAATCGGAATGGGGATATAGAACTGTCCTTTTTTTTCTTTTTGCAGTGTACATCTGTGAATTGGCTACTACTGCATGTATAAAAAATACACCAAAACATGGCAATTCTACTCAATTTTAAGACTAGGGGTACAGATAATCAGGAAGTACTAAATTCGCAAAATAAAAAATATAGATGCGCTCTAGCAGAGCAAAGCAGTTAAGACTTTAAATGATCTGAATTACTGTTGCTTTACTTTCATTTTTAGCTAAAGTGAAAAGAAATATTTTAGTTTTCAATTTTAGCCTGTCATTACTTTAGCATCATAAGACGATTAGAATAATATTTTAATTAAGCCAAACTGAGTTCTAAGTTTCCAAATCGGAAAGCAGAATATATGAACACTCATCAGGGTTCGTACACATTTCTGCACACAGAAATTAAGTACTTTTACAGACCATTGCTGAAAAAATTAAGAACCTATGAACAAATGGGAACTCAATAAAATTCAATTAAAAATATTATTCTATGCCAGAATTCCACTTCTGCGATACCATCCTAAAAATAAAATACATCTTTAAGTAGTATGCATTATTACTAAACATGAATTAATTAACTTAATTATTAATAAGTTAGAGAATAAAATAAACTTTATGCAATTTATCAAGTAACATTAAATATTTTACACTTATAATAGTTGGATCTACTTGAAAGACGATAAGTGACACTTACGTTTTACTAATAGTTAGCTTTATGTTGATTTTTTTATGTTTCATTTTTTCACACACTTGGTCAGTCTAGAGGTTCAGTAAATAGCAGGTAGATTTTATGTCAAGCGGCATTGGTTAAAATGAGAATTAAGATCATAATCAGCATGATTCATAACAAAAGGCTGAATGTTGTCACCCCTGCTGCTTGTCTAGAAAGAGACTTGATGATTAGAACAAACCTGAAAGGTCTGATGTAGACACAGTTGGCAAGTGTTGAAAGTTAGGCTCTGTTTGGTGCACTTAGTGTCATGCCTTGTGTAGAGTTCCAGGGATTGTAACCTAGCTGAAATACTTTAAGGTTCCAATAAGCCATTAAAGCATCAGAGGTGATAAGTTGTTTTGTATTATTTTTGAAGTCTCACTAGATGCAAAGAATAAGTTTTACTTGAATTTTTACATTTTTGTATTTTATCTTGTGGTTACAGTGAGTATCAATAACTCGCTTTAATACGTAGATATAATTTTTAATGGTAAGCACTTAGTTATAAATAATTAAATTAGGTAATTAGATAATATTAGTCATTACAGATTTACATGGCACCTATTAAATTTTATTTTTTAACAATATTTGTTAAAAAAGCCCTATTAAAATCAAAATCTAATAAAATTTCACAGTTTAAAATACATGTAATTTATGACATTGATTCTTAAAAGATATTAGGATAATTACACATTAAAAGCTACAAAACAGCAATAATACTCAACAAAATATTTATAAGTCATTTTATTTTGAAGCCTTCCCAAACATTTGGCTAGTTTATATCGATTTCCTTCTCCTTAAGCATCTATTCTAACAATTAGAGATTTGTCTCAATATGCAAATCAGTGCTCACGCTAGTTTCTGTGTGCTTTATCTCCTAACTGGTCAGCCTCTCCACAATGTACCTATGAGAGTTTACTTGACCTGGTAAAAGTTAAATAGTTCCAAACACCTGACAGACATGAAGCAAATTATCGCTATGTCTGAAAGTAACTACAACATCAGACAAAGGTTTAAATAAGCCTCTTATTTAAAAGAACTTAAAACCATAAAAGCATGTTCTGTTGCTAACAAAGTCAATTACAGCTCACGGTGACTTAATTACACAAGAACAGTCAAATTCAAACTAAAAATATGGACCACTGGTCAAAGATTATACAACTGAATTTTAATTTAATCTGGCTTAGTAACTTTATCATATGAGGAGATAGAAATGGAAAATTATAGTAAAGGCTGAAATTATAAACAATTGGGTAATTTACATAATAATGACTGCACATATCTTTGAAGAATAATTTTCTTTATGTATTCAGTTTCTTTCTTCAACACATTTCCTTTTCATTTTAGAATTTTTGGATTTAATTAAGGATTTCTATTATTCTAAAAAAACACTAAATGCATTAAGAATGTATAGAAAAAGTGGCTTAATTTTATTTATTTAGTAATATGGACATTTTGAAGAAATATGAAATATATATGGTAAAGACCAGTTGTTCAGAGCTGGTGTGGCAAGACTTTTAGAATTTAGAGCAGGAATTGGAAGCAGAATTTAGGATCCACAGAGATTGCATCATGTGGGAAAATGCCTAGTGCCAGTCTGTGTATGATGCATTAAAACATATTAGATGAATCTTTTAGATTGTAAATTTTCAACTTTTTTATTAATAAAAAAATCCCTTTCTAACACCTGCCCATGTGATAAGATTTTATAGTTTCCATGCTTGAAAATAAATGGAAGATAAATATGTTAAGAAAAAGATTCTAGCATCAGAAGTAAAACATTCAAATATTATGTTTCCATTGCTCTTCTAGATGTTCTCCAAAAAGTAAGAAATTCATCGCAAACTTTCTGTAAAATGCATTCATTACATGTTGATACCATGGAGACATTTTTCATTTTGTCACATAGTTCTTGAATCTTCTAGAATCGTGGGTCTATAAATCTTGCTTTCAAAATCATCTAAACTTTCCAAGCTGCAATGTCTAAAATCCTAAAGAAAAATTATCCCTAACAATTCTGTAACAGCAAAAAGCCAGAAATATTTTGGAGAAAAAAAAAGGGGGGAAGTGTTAAATTAATTTTATAGAGAAAACTGATGCATATTCTGAGAATTTTTAATATTGTAAGACAATTGCATGAAAAAAACTTACTATGAAAAAATTAAAAAGGAAGAGATTTTTAATTAATTACATAGCTAATTTTGCTCTTGCTAAGAGCTGTTTCATAAATTGTACTTTATAACATTATACCTTATTTATTTTTCAGGTACAAAATATTGTATAATAAGTTGCCGAAATGAAACTTTATAATATGACAGCAAAAAATCAAATTGTTTTATTTTAATGTTATTTTTTAAACATAATTTCAATATATTACCATTATTTTAACAAAATTTATTAATGTTACGAGGTTTTAAAAAAAAATGGTCGAAAAATTTTCAGATCTTCGAATTAAAAATTGTCTATAGAAACTGATCTTAAAGTCGCCAAAATATTGGTAAGTGGACAAATTTAGAACCGTTTAATAAAAGAATTCACATCATCGAAGCGAAAAGTTCTTTAAGAGCTCTTTATTAGAAAAAATGAATTTCAAAATGCTTATGTTTCATGTCTTGCTTAGAAACTTGAGTATCTCATCATTTATATCAGAAATAGAAACAAATTATAACCCATGGACCCATTCAAAAAATAATCATATATGTCAGTGAATCACCAAAAATATTTCCCCCAAAATGCTAATTCACACTCAAAATGGCAGTCGTCAAATCGGACAGAAATTTCAAATGATTAAAATTAAGGACCTTCTGCTGATTTTGATCAAAATTAAGGACTGAAAATTGATTAAAAAAAATGTAAGGACTTTTAAGGACTGTACGAACCCTTCTCATGCAAAAATATTAACATTTTAACAAAATAAGGCACAATGTAAAGCAGTGTGTACATAATCTAAAAACACTCACGTAAACTGTATAACAATTTAAGAATACTAGTGTAAAAATGCTCACACTTTAATAAAAAATATATAATTTGTGCATATTAAAAAGCTTGGATTAAAATTAAATCAGAAACAGAATGTCTTTCTACTACAAATTTTATATGGTTGAAACTTTTAAAGCCATAGAAATAAATTTTAAATGGTTAGTAAGGGCTAGATGACTGGAAACAGAACAAATCTGCCATAATTTAAGTAAAATTTAATCTCATTAAAACTGACTTTAAAAAAAAAAAAAAAAAAAAAAAAAAAAAAAAAATTCCCTTCACAAAACAATGCTAATTGAAACTTAACCCAATTAGAAATATAATTTTAAAAGAAAAACTTTATCTTAATTTTTAAAAGAGCTTTTTTGGAACAAATTTAGAAAAGTAAAAAATTAAAAAATGATATATATTATTAAAAAAGACTTCTGAATTTTAAATCTTTTGAATCTGAAAATCTGAATCTTAAATCTTCTGAATCTCAAAATCTGAATAAATAAAGAAGATTTATCAAAAATTATTGAAAGTAACTCACACAAAACATGATAATTACAATAAAAATAATAACTTGCAAATGAGGACAACATGCTTAGGGGATGTACAAGAATTAGGTTAGCAAGGAGAGAAAATAAGTCAAGTGCAAAAAGTGTATTGTGCAATGGCACTAGGCTACACAGCTTAGTTTTCTAGGTCAAATGTAAGGCCAGGAAAAATGTACTGTTCAGTTTCAAATTGGGACACAGAGAAGCTAAAAACCACTGAATAAATAATGAAATTATTCAGTCTATTACATAAGACTTTGCAAACTTACTTTCTAGTGCATAAAAGAGAAAAGATAAAACATAAATAATTAAGCACGTCAATGTAAGAAATTAAAAAAAGTATGATAGAAATTACGTTTAACTGTGAAGTTCTGCGTTGGACTTCAACTTGAAGCAATTACCTTTATTTCGACATCAGAAATTCCAAATCTATAAAATACTTAAAATTCCCAGAAAGATAAAAAAATTATTACGTAAAATACACTTATTATGTACAATCCTAATAAGGATGTTGCTGTAAATATGCACTTATATATTTAGTATTTTTTTAGACAGCAACACGCTTAACCTTTTTTTACATGTCGGTCTTAAGATATTTATTTCCAATCACAGAGCTTCTCAAAATTAAGTATAGAATTTTTATGACAACAGGTTTAAAGACTAAAAATGGGAAGTTTCAGTGAATATAAATTCTAACATTTCATAAGGTCCTTGAAAAGCAAGAATTCTAATTAGTGAAACAGTCAAAAGATTGCAGCACATTAAATATAAAATGTTCCACACTTGTATGAGCAAAATTTGTAGAGGTACTTGAGAGTGAATTTACAGACTGTGAACCTTTCAATGTCTGTGATAGAAATACCATCTCAAACAACACCCACCACAAAGAGGGAACCATTTAGAACTCAAAAAGTGTTTAAAAGCTTGAACTTTCTTTCAAAATGTGAACTAAACTTGAGGCATCTTACCTAAAACCAGATGAAGTTTTGCATCTGTCTGAAAGGCATAATGTAGTGTTACAAGGAAAGGAGACTGGCGAATTGCTTCTAAAACTTGTCTCTCTGTTTTGGCATGCTCTAATGTTTTCTGCTTTTGAACTATAGAAGCTTTTTTCAGCACTTTCATAGCATACAACTTCCCCCGATCATGTCCACGTGATTTTCTCACCAAGAACACTTTTCCATATGCTAAAATTTAAAGACAAAAGTAAATTATACTAGAAACTATATATTACTTTGCTATGCAGGATATACATTCTTCACAAATATATAACAGAATAGATATAAATACTTACACAAATAAAAATCAGAAACATTTCACTTCCATAACCAGTTAAAATTTAGCTTCATATTTATTGAAATTATGTTGAAATATTAGCTTTCCAAAGAATAATTTTAGAACGGATAGAGGAAATACAAATTAATTATAGCACTTAAAAGCAGTTTATCTTATATATATATAAAGTATATAAATAATACATACCTCCTGTGCCTAACACTTTCAGCAAGTCAAAATCAGAAATTCCAACTTTACCGCTGCCATTAAGGTTCACTGCAAAAAAATATGTAGATGAAGCTAATTACTTAGTTAATAAGATATACAAAAACAATGGCAAAGCTGACAACTACCCAGCCACTTTTAACCCTTTGCGGCATGGTGGGTCAATATATGTCCCACCTAATTAACATTTATTTTCTCAGTTAGCAATTTCTGTTAGAAATTTTCTAATCTTTTAAAAATAATCTATTTTAGTTATTATTTTTCTCAGTAGATGTTACTACTATACCAGGGCTTAAGTTTATAAGCAAAAAATATTCAAAATAGGATCACAAGAGTGATATCCATGTATCTCGCATTTTTCAATATTTTAAAAATTTTGGTACACAATTTATGATATGTATGATTCTTTTTAATATTCAAAGGTATTTTATTTTCAAAAATCTTAATTGGATTCAATATTTTATAACATTAATTTTGCAGTTGAAATAAGTGGGTTAAAAATTGTCCCACCACACACTTGAATTTCCGCTCAATAGATGGCAGCACTCACGATTATTTTTTCTTTTCTTTTTTGCATCTACTTTTTTCGTGATTGCATGTGCTTTTACATCCGTTGTATGCTCTGATGTGCTAAAATGTCTAGAAAAAAGTTAACAACTCAGGAAGCTTTGGATCTTTTTGCTGAATTGCCATCCGATTGCTACTCAAATGCTTCAGATGTCAGTTCTGATTCAGGTGAAATTGAAATCCAAGAGAGAATAACTGAGGTTGAAGTTATTGCTGAAGAAGAAAGGGAAGTAATAATTTTGTTTCGCTATTTAAAGACACAGACCCATCTATGCATGTGGCACTGTAAATATGAATCGGAAGTATCTACCCAAAAATTTAAAAGACAAATTTATGTCAAGAGAATATATAGACTTTTCAGTTAGCAATGATTCAATTTATTGCATAAAATGAAAGGATAAAAGATCCGTTTCTATCCTGTCTTGCTTGGAAAAGGCAACTGAAATGAAAGAAATTAATAGAAAAGAACGAGATGGAAAGACAAAAAAAGTACTGTGCCCAAACAGCATTATTTCATACAATAAGAATATGGGATATGTCGACTGATTGATCAACTGAAAGGACTATATGAAATAAACCGCAACAGCAAGAAATGGTGGCACACGTATTTTTTTTTACTTTTTAGATGCGAGTATAGTAAATGCATTTATTCTATTTAAGTTTGTTCGCGAACCCGATCATGATGTAGAAACAATGAAAGATTTTCTTCTCTCAGTTATAGAAAGTCTAATGGCACTTGCAGGCAAGAAAGAGCTGAAAAGAAAACTGAAATCCCCAGTTCAAATAAAAACTAAAAACCTGTTCGTACAACCAGAAAAAGGGACTAAAAAATCTAAGTCACACTCCAAAGAGAACTAGCAGAAGAAGATGTGCATATTGCAGCACATCGAAAGAAGAACGACGAACATTTTGGATGTGTGGAACATGTGAAATGCCTCTATGCTTACAAAAGAATGAAACAACATGTTTTTCAAAGTTTCATGAAAAATGACTTTTTTTCAATTTTAATCATATATAAATGTTTTTGAATCAAGTGCCAATTTTAATATTTTATTTAGTATCATATGTACGAGTATCAAATTTTAATCTTAAAATAATATTCAAGAAAATATTTTCTTTTGTTCCTAAAATTTAAAAATATTAAATATATACGTATATGCAAAATTTTACAAGTCATGCATATATGCAATAAGTACAAAATGCATTTTAGTGTGTTTATTATGAATATTTTAGAATGCACGCTTTATTTTGTTTATTCATTCCACATATTTTTTTTTTTCCTGCTATACACCAATATGCTATAAGACATGTGCTAGTTGCATGGTGGGACAAACGGTATCCCACCTTACCCCGTAAAAAATAAAAGCGCAGAATTTTTTTCAAGCTTTAAAGGCACTTAAGTAAGTCCATCTGACTTATTCTAAGGCATTTTTTTAAAGATTAAAATATATTTTAAATATGTGTGTCGCAAAGGGTTAAATAAAAGAAATTCATTAAAAATTTTAGAAGTTAGATTTATACATTCACATCTGAATTTCCTTTCCCATTAGAGACATTTTTCAGCTTTATTCTCATGTCAAAATATGTAAGACCCATTACTCTATTAACTGATTACACTATTACTGACTACCTTCTGAATTATCTTATATCATATTACAAGAGAGTTTACTTTTTATTCTGTTCAGTTTCAAATCAATGTACCTTAATTCCTTCTCATAACATAATTACTGGAGTTTTCTTTTACTTTCATGAATTAAAATATTACCTTACATACTGTGCAAGGACATTTTCCTCCTAAGAACAAAATATTAAGCAAATTACTTCAGAAAATATGCTTCATTTAAAACATAAAAATATGAATGGGATGAATGAAAAAAGCTCTACAGTAGAAGTCCAGAAATCCACAGTGCTTGGAATCAGAAGTTGTGCAGATTTTAAGATTTTGCAGATTTCAGGACAAAAAAGATAAATCATAATATTCAGACTAAACGTGCAACATAAATAAGGTGTATTAGATACATTTAATTAAATTATTATATACATTATTGCAATAATTTATTATATGCATTAAATTATTATTACATATATAAATTGATTATATTATTCACCGTATTATATGTACACAGCATCGAGATTTGCCGATTTTGCCTCATGCAAAAATTTCCGGTTTCGGATTCCGGTGTTAGAATCACTGTTTCTGTAAAATTTTAACAGCTTTTCGTTATTTTTCCGTATATCATACACAATCGTGTCGCAATTCCATACGATTCTGCTATAAACCGAGGAGTAGCATCTGCCTCCATCTTTTGCAGAATTTGCACTTTTGTATCATCGTCAATACAACGTGTTTTATGTTTTTCAATGTTGCAAGCAGTAAAATCATGAGTGTGTTTCTTATCTGTAATTGTATTAAAAAGGGTTGAAATTTGAAATATTCTTAATTTATCCACAAAATATCTGGATAAAAAAAAAAAAAAAAAAAGGCAGCACTAAATAATCACGTGAAATAACAAAGCTCAGAAATTGTAGGAATTGCAGCAATCTTGCTTTTAAGCAAGAAGAAAGGAGATGAGGACTTTGGTGAACGCCGTTTCCTCCAGTCCGTGAGGGACTCAGAAAGCCAGAAATTACAACAATGTGAATCGTGAACTTAAAGCGGATTTCAGGCCGGTGGATTTTCGATATTTGACTGTATTGAAAATGCACACTTCTGAAGGATTGCACAGTAAATATGATTTAGAAACATATTTTTTCTTTTTCATTAATATTTTTCCACAGAAAGTAGTAGCTCATAGAGACAATATAACACTTAAATTGTTAATTGCTACTAACAAACTAAGTTCCGATTTGTTCAACACCTATTAAGAGGTGAAAGCATATGCAGCTCTTAAAGAATTATCTGGCCTTCACAGTAAAAAAAAACATGCTCAATGAAAAGCAGATAAATATGATTTTGAATTTTAAAGCATATAGTCGATTATGTTGTCTTATACTATTCATGCTTATGACACACACAAAAAAAAAAAAAAAAAAAATGTCACTGCCAAGCTACTTTTTGTCATCTAGAAGAACAAACTTCACTCACCCATGCATCATTTATTTCTATTTCATTCGTTTATAACAGTAAGACAGGAAAGCAATCTTAATTAAATTAAAATTTGTTGCTCAAACATGAAACACTGAATGTGAAGAGACTAGAACTGACAATTTTTCAAAGTCTTAAGAGACACAGCAAAGCAATCTAGGAACAATGAGAAGGAACTCTACACAGTAACACACTGAAGTTATGCAAACATTGGGTCCAGCAGAAAGTGCATTAGTAAATTAGGACCAGGGGTTAAAAAAGCACTTGTTTGAAGTAGTCTGAAAAGTATGTAAAAAGTAAAGCTTTCATACATAGCAATAAAGATATTATCAAAGTAAATAAGCTTCATAAAACAGAGATTTTGATGCCATTAGCAAAGTTCTTTGATGACTTAATTCATAAAGAGTGGGATATGACACTCCATTTTTCCCTTTTTCTGTACTGAGGGTTAAAAAAAAAAAAAAAAAAAAAAAAAAAAAAAAAAAAAAAAAAAAAAAACTGACTGCAATGTGTAAAACGTTAAACAATTTCATTGTCTGAGAACAAACAATACTATAACTTAAATGCAGTTTTCAAGCAGGGATAAGGAGAAAATGTTTTAGAGCATTTAGCTTAAATTATTAACCATGGATGCATATATTACTCCTTCAAGCTAGTTCTACATGAACAATAAAGTTTCTTTCATCAGCATTTTCTGAATTAGTGAGAATTTCAAATGGAAATTAAGTGCAGGCTTAAATGCATATATATGTAATACCTACATTAAAATTTCGATGACTTTTGATGTGTCATTTTCCCACACTGCGAAGAATACATAATATACATACAAATTTTTCGTTCTCGAAACAACAGAGATGAACATTTTTACATTAAATACAAAGGCAAAATTATTCCACATTTAAAACGTACGAATCAAAAAATACACAAAATATTAAAAGATATTAAGCGGTTAAGTTTACTTTCCGAAATACGAAAAACAGATGATTCCGGGTAAGCAATTTACCTACTGATTTCTAGAAAGAATTAAAAAAAGGGGGGGACGGAGTTTTGAAAAGCACATTGCGAATGAAAAGCATCAATTGAAAAACACAAGGAAGAAAGTGACATTTAATTCGCTACTGCAGGTGACCTTGCCATTTCTCCGTAGATGCAAACCTTGGTTACTACTGCTCGAAAGTAAACAATAATTATGCAACGGGATGGGTTAGGAAACTCTATCAACTCACAACGCAGTCCGCGTTGACTGTACACAAAGCTGCTGTAACAGAAAACAAAAACCAGATTAAAAAAAAAAAAAAAAAATAAATAAATAATAATAATAATAATAATAATTACGTCTAAAGGCGCGTTTTTTTATTTAACGTTTTGTGTGTTACCTTTATTTATTAAATATCATGTT